TTTCAGAGAAATATTATGGTTTGCAGTTGGGATTAAAATTTATCGGATTGAATTTTTTTCAGTACTTGTCTTTCATATTTTCATGGCGGGCCTGGTCCTTGCGGCAATCGGAAACCTCCTGACATCAAGGCCAAGACGAAGATGACCGTCCACCAACTCGCCGCGGTCCGTTCCTTTGATGACGATTCTGGTCATGCCGGGCAGATTTCGATGGTGTGGACACGACACGCCGCTGGGTATGCCATTGGCGGCGCGATATAACGAAAAGAGTCGGGGGTCTCCTCCACCGAAACATCGGAGTCCGAGCGGAGAGGGAGCACGAGGACGTTAGCGAACACGTGAGGAACTCTCAAGAGCTTCTTGGCGTTGGAGGAGGCGGGCGATGAAACCACAGGAGGCTGCGAACGCAAAGAGTCTTGCTTCTTCGCGAAAGGATGGCCTTTCGTCGCAAACATGTTCCGCCGAACTCTATCAATCCCCTTTAATCTTTGCTCAGTTGCGCAGCGCAGTGACCGAATTTTCCGGGAAAATGGTCTCTGGAAATGTAGATGATAAGCAGATGTCATATGGACCCCTAGTGTGTATTTATGTGCGCGCGCGCGCGCGCGCTAGAGGGTAAATTGACGGAAGTGCCCTTCCACTTTGGCATAGCGAATAGCGGTCTTTGTCCGCAGGAATAGTGAAAAGGAAAAGGAGGCATAAGATGTGTGGTGGTGAAAGGGAATAGGTATGGCAAGGTGCTTAATGCATTTTTTTTGATTCGGGTACAGGTTTAAATTCAGAAGCTACGTACGTGGAGGTGACCATAATAGGGATTTAGTTATTCTGGGCTTTGACAGGATAAAAAGATTCGGACAAGTGACCCTCCATTTGGGGGATTCATGAGCCATTGCAGAGGTTATATTCTGGTCATGATGGATTACAGTGGAAGTGTACTGATACAACAATGAATTCAATGACTGTTGAAGCAGCATACAACATGAAATGAGTGAAAGCAGAGTTTGTGAAAGGATTGCGTTTGGGTCGTGGGTGGATACTGGATACTTAGTTATCTGGAGGAGGAAGACAGAGTTGGAAGGTTCAGGGCTGCAAAGGGACAAATGAAAAAGCGTGATGGTGAGAGTAAGGCAGAAATTGCCCTGACATCCCTCCCCATAATCTTCCTGCCTCTTCTTGTTATTGCTTCTTTTTGTCTTCTGCATTCGCCAAGCATCTGACCACCTATCCTATTCCTTATCGTCTTTCCTAACTTCAAATTTCAAATATCAATTATTATGATATTTAAGTATTTAATTACAGATAAGATCTTAAAATTACGAAATTTCAGAGAAATATTATGGTTTGCAGTTGGGATTAAAATTTATCGGATTGAATTTTTTCAGTACTTGTCTTTCATATTTTTTAATAATTTTTTTAGTATTTTCAATTCTCAATTTTTTTTGAGTTTTTCATTAATCATTTTAAATATTTTCAGTCTTCTTTTATGGTCTTAGTACCGGAAATTTTTTTTTCAATATTAAAAAAGAGCATTGAAAACATCTAAATAACTAGAATATTGAAAATGTAAAATATGACTATTAAAAATATGAAAATTGAGTATTAAAAAAGTAACTCATGAAAAATTCAAATCTATTAAGGATTATGAACCTTTTTAAAATTTTTAAATTTTTTATGATCCATAACTCTAAATAATATTCTTAGAGGGTTGTTAAATGTCATTCTCCTAGCATATTGTGTATGTTTATAGTTAAGTTAAGTTTATATTTGTTTAGTTATTTATTATAAGGTTTTATTTAGTCATTTAATTTTACAAAATGTATTTTCAATTTTTTAACTCTTAACACCATTAATTTCATCATTAAAAAATACCACATTGAACTTTTAAATATTGATAAAATATCTCACAATGTTAATATATTCAATTTAATTTTTTTAAAAAATTACAATGATTGATATAAAAAATAATCACTTAAAAATAATGGTATTAGGGTTAGAGAATTGAAAATATGCTTTGTAAATTAAGGTAAACTAAAATCTTATATAAAATATATGATCAAAAAGCACATTTTTACCTTACATTTACATTAGAATAAAATACATAAAATTTCTCTAATTTTAAAGTAATTAATGCGGACTTCTCTCACCTTTCATAGTTTAAGATTAACTCTTTTAATCTTTAATTTTTTTTTAAAACCCCTTACCATTAATTGATTGTTATGTGATTCATATCATTATTTTCATGCCATATGCAATACATATGGCACATGACATGAATTTTTTTTAATTTTTTAACAAATTTAAGAAAGCATGAAATTGTAATTTCTAGTTTTAACAAACATGACGGTGCCCTTTGTTTTTTCACTTGACGGCATTATTTTTTTATTGTTCATGGATAATAAAATTTTAAAAAAATTATAATTTTACTATTCTTTATCAATTAAAATAGCTTTTTATATTAAATAAATAAAAAATATCTAAAAACTGGTATTAATAGAAGTCATATAAATTTTGTTGTTTGCTTTGTTTATTTTTTTTATACTATTATTTATTTGTAACTATTATTTTTTCATCTAAATAAAGGTTTCAGCATTCAAACAAAAAAATATGTTACTAGTATGTTATAAATGAAATATGTGTAGTTTTAGAACAAGATATATCTTTTTGCTGTTAATGTTTTGTATCAATTTTGTTAAAAGGTCAACTTGTAAACTATCATAGTTTTATTGTATTATAAGATAAATTTTTATTTATATAATTCTTACCAATGACAACTTTTAAAATTTTTTATTTTTATTTGTTTAATATAAAATTTTATTTTAATAGTCAAAGAATATAAAATTATACTTTTTATCTTCTTAATTGTGTTGCTCGCAAACAAGAAAATAGTATTGCTCAGCTAAAAAATGAGAGCATTGTTATATGTGTTAAAAGTAAAAATTTAGAATTTGTTCTCTTCTTAATTATGTTAAAAAATAATAAAATTATTTTTTTCCAGCCATATGACATCTGTGTTTGTATTAATTTGACATAACAATAACTATATTTATAAAATAAAGTTACTTACCCATTTATTTAAAAATGTAAAGCATTTTTAATCGAATCTTATCTCCCACTAAAGTAAGTTACCTACTTTCTAACTAACTCTGTCTTTTCATATTTATTCCTATTAAATATCTTAAATAAATATAAAGTTATTATCAATACGGACATTTTTTAAAAAAGGTCATGATTACACCTCAAAAGATAAAAAATACCTTATATTTTTAAATATTTAACTCTTCAAAAATTATTTTATATATTTTTGAATGGCGAGAATAATTAATAGTATAAAAAGTAAAATTAAAAATTTCAGGATTAATTTTAAACGTTTAAAGCTAACTAAAATCATATATATTTTTTAAAATTCAAAAGATTTTTATGCATTTAATCTTTATATTATTATTAGTTCTTTTTATACATGTTGCGTCATAAATTCTCACCAGGATTCCTTCATATTTATTGTGACTTTGATGTCTGTAATAAAAACATAAAAGCACGTAACCCTCCTCAATTTGGATTTAATTGCACATAACTTCCCTCATATTCAAAAGTTTAAAAAACACACCGTCATCTTTTATGTTGTGATCATTAGCCCCCACATTTAAATTCCACTATTAAGTCTAACAAGAGATATGCCACATTAGATTAATTAAGATTACTTAGAAAATGACATGTAATTTTTTATATTTTATTAATTCATTCTGACATTAAACTCAAATTGGCTCAAGGTAATTTTGTGATTACAATGATCCTATCCCGTCCTCTCTTCTGACTTTGATTGCATCTCTCTGCATCTTCGTAGGTTTTCTGCATATACAAACGCTTGATTCAGCTTTTTGTTTTTTGTTTTTTAAGAGAGAGGTAAATACAAGCGAAACACGCCAATTTTTTTTTTTTTTTTCAAAAGGAGGCTAAAAATTTACGGGGAATTAAAAAAAAAAGATAATAGCTAAACATAGATGACGCCCTTGTGGCTGTGGGATAGTTGACAGGATGTTTGTTGCTGGTATTATGAAGCATGATGGTACGAGTTTTTATGAAATATATTCATCTTTTCCCACAGAAATTAACCACGTGACATCGTATGTATCAAGAATTCTCCACTGTTTACTGAAATGGACAGCACAGAGTCATTCCATTCATCATCTGCAGCAATGTAATAAGATACCAAAGGACTTGCTATCTTGGAGGTTCCTTCTGTTTTATTCTTTGTTGAATCCTTCATCTAGGCTGGGCATCTTACCATGTTATCATGTGCACTTCAATTTTTAGCACTTTATAGCTCCTCTAGTTTACTGTTCTCTACTTCTCAGACGTGGTTGCTGCTCCTCACTTTCTCAAAATGTTTTGTTGGATCATCAATTAACCAAAAAAAATTGAAATGAACGGAGGAGGGAAAGAAATGTTGCTTTGCACAAAGTTTCTCGTCAATCTCAAAAAGCTGATGTCGCTCATGCTATTGCGAGGACTTCGATCAAATCAATCATTTCCACGCGTTCGGTTCCTTTTTTTTTTTTTTAATTCTTTTTCAGCTTTTTATTTGGCAGCGTTGTATCGGACGAGAAACAGTTATTTGATAATTAGACTGGAACAACTTTGGCCTCATCCTGAAGATTGAAAGTGAGAGATTTTCTTAGCCTGATATGATATTCCGATTTTTCTGATCATAAAAAGAAACAGTTAAGAATACGAAGTGAGAACAGACACAATAATCATCTTGGTCGAGGAGTTACTAGGAGTTACTCTTCACTCTGCATCATCATCAAATACAACAACAAACAAACGGGAAAAGAAGAAGAAAACCAGAGTTTCTTCACTCATGCATCGTCATCAATCATCATCATCATCATCCTCCTCCTCTTGAACCCAGAACAATGGGGTAAAAACGTAAGACCAAATTTGACCTTGATGATCCAATTTGTGAACATAACCACATAAACAACGCCTCCATTGTGAACATAACCAACATAAACAACGCCTCCATGACAAAAGCCTCAAACTTACAAATCATAATCAATAATGGAAATGGAAAACGTTTGACTTGCTGATCAAATTCTGAGTCAAGAGTGATGATAAACATCAGATTCCAAATTCTCCACTCCGTCCACCATCATCTCTTGGCACCGGCATTCGTGGCTGCAGAAGCTTTCTCACCCCTGCACAACATGAACCAACAGGTCACTTGAAGAAATGAACTTAAACGAGATCTTTCTCCAATCAATTTATTTATAAAATCTCTTCTGAGGCAGCTAAACGTATAGCCGTCAATGAAACTGACCTGTAAATAAAGATGTCTTTTGTGTGCTCAAGAAGCTTCTTGCACGTGTAACAGAAGCTGAGGAAATTCCCCGAAATTGACGGGGGCCTTCCAGGCAGAGAACAATGGCTTTTGACAATGCAATTATCAAATATATGGGTGGTTCTTGGATTAGATCCATGGGATATTACACAAGTATACTCCTCAGAAAGCTCCATTTCACTCAAAGATAGAACACCTGTGGATACCACCCTTGGAGAATCTTCTGTATAAATTTCTGAACTTTGAGACCCAGTTGGCAATACAAGTGAATTTGGGGTTTTAATACCAACGCCATTCGAACTTGTTGGAGATTCAAAAGGATAACATGTAAAAGATGTTAAAGGAGGGACTTTTACTCTTAGCTGTGTTCCAAACAGGACATTACCATTGCTGGGTTTGTCAGAATTCTCTGCAGCTTCCTCATCTTTGAGAGCATCAACAAGAGCAAGCCCAATGCCTCTGGAATATATCTTGTTCCATGAGCTTTTCTTTTCCGAGGAAATTCTGGTGGAGAATGTCCCAGAAGGGGGTAATAGCATAGAGTCAAGAATTGAAGTAGGGATCCTTAAAGCCTCAGCTCCAGAGAGACACTTGGAGGTGAAGTCTCTAAATTTGGGTGAACTAAACAAGGATTGAATAATTCTAACACACTTATGCTCAGGAGGACGCGATTGGTGACGGCTCTGATCAGCTATTAAAGCTGGTTTTGTCACTGCTCTTGATCTTTTCATCATCAGCATATAAGGTTCTTGTTCTTTGATCCAAACCGGAACAGTATGCCTCAGCTGGTAAACTGAAACCCAAAAGAAATAATTCAAACTAGGAAAAATGAACAAGTAATGCTATAAATTTTGCAAGAATACATGAGATGGGTCATTGAGAAGTGAGAACTCACCGGATCGGCAAGAACGGTATTACTCAGAAACCATTTGCTATTGCAGAGCAAGAATTGTTGTGCATCTGACAGAAAAACTGAAATAGCTAAACAAAGAAGATAATCTGAAACTGTCACAGTCGCTGAAACGCCTCCACGATTTCTGAGGCTTCCATGACTGTAAACTGAAACTGTAACAAGAGCTGGGTTTTCCACGTTTACCCTAATAAAGCTTTCTCAACAACAAAATATATTTCTGTTCCAGACATAACCTCTAGTAGCTCTACCATTATTGTATACTATACTGCTCAAGACAGGAAGAAATCGCAGAAATCGTTTCAGAAGCAAGCATCATAAAAAAAGAGAACAAGCCCTAAATTTGATTCCTGTCAGTGAAACTTCGTCACTGCCATCAATTTTCAAGATATGTCCTTCTCTTCTTTGAGTTTCAATTCTATAAATTCTCGAGCTTTATGGGGAGCAAATGATGAGAGGGAAGAAAAAAAGGGAAACTTTGGACTTGGAAAAAAGGTTATGGTGTCTGTATTTTTTTATTCTTCATTGTCATCTTTCAATATTTTCTCTTAAATTCTATTCCTCTTTCTCCATCCATCCATCCCGACTTGAATAAACCTTCTCTATTTTCTTCGCCATTTTCGTACAAAGCCATTTCTACATCTGCCATTTGTGTCGTACAAGTTTTAACAACCTTTTGATCAAGTACAAGTTTAACTGTGTTTTGAGAAGGGTTTATTCTCTTTTTGTACAATTGAAAAAGTTTATTCTTCCAGTTGAATAATCAATAATATCTCGGTTTTTCTTGAGAAAATTGATATTTTGTTTCCATGGATGGGTGTACACAATTTTTTAAGAAGGATATTTTGTTGGTTTAACACTTAACAGTTCCCTAGAATAATGTTATTTTTTCGGACAATCAAATATTTCTTCTGGCTTGGAAAGTCAAATATTTTTTGTACGCTGCCCCTTTTTATCGAGAAATGTACATGCATTTAGTGGGTGACAACATTTTAAATAGAATTATATTCAATAACCAGATATCGTAGGTAACAGGAAAAAATCACGCCACTTTTTACATCAATGTAGTGTAATTCAATACTTTGTTAAAAATATAATAAACTTAGTAGTATTGTTTAATTCTTAGACTTTCTTTTTAATTTAATATTTTTAATGAATATGATCTTTACATATTTTATCACTCCTCTCAATAAAATGAACATTTGATTACATAAGTAAATTTCATGTAAACATTAATAAACTATATATGGTGCATTTGTTTCCATTGAAAAAAAAAAAAAAACTATGTGCTGCACATGACACTCAAAACAATTCTTGCACCTAAATTTGATTTTCGTGCATCTATATGACCCAAAGAAAAAACATTAAATTGAAACTTCTTTCTGGAAAATTTGTTTGAAGCGATACAAAAATCCAAAGTTGATCTTTAATCATCCATTAGCGAAAACAAAAATGATTAATTATCAATATATTGCATAATATTTTTTTACCTTGCACAAATTGAAATTATATATTATTTCTTTAACATTCAATCTATATATATATATATATATATTATATATTTACTGCCAAATAAAACGAAACTTTGGTGAAATAAAAACCCACCTTCTATATATGTATATATGTACGCTATATTATTCAACATTTCAAGCCCTCTTCCGAATATTTTTGTGTCGTCCATAGTTTCGTGTGGAGTTGCTGACTATCTTAATTATATTTCAGATGCCTATTTATCACTACACATCATATCCTCTCTTTCTCGCTTTTGTATTCTGACTCTCACTAACTATCATATATTTAAAATACTATTGGTGGTTATTAATTTTTTTTTTGTTCATGTTAATATTTCTATGGTTAATGATTTCTCAAACCTGTTATCTCTCATGTGAAACGGCAGGTAAAAAAAAAAATCAGTATCACATAAAGGGTAAAAATATGTACAGGGTGCATTTTATATGATGATTGAGGTGACCAAAATCTTTGAATTTGGGGTTGCATGAGATGTAAATTTTAGCAGTTGGATTAAAAACGTACACTAATATTTTTGTTTCACATATTTTAAAAGAATTAATTTTTTAATATTATAAAAAAGTAAGAGATTCGTTTATTTTTACCTTTAATTTTAAATAATAATATAATTATATTAAATATCTTTATGTTAATAAAAAATAAAATTCAAAAAATAAATTAATTATTATAATATATTTTATATTTTAAATTAAGAATTACTTTCAAAAGGTACCGTACTAAGATTGGGAGGAGTATTTCTCATGAATGGGCTACGAGTGGGCCCTACACATAGAGGTTGCGTCTCTTTCACTTCATCATTATTGCTCAGTGCTGGGCCCACTTCTTCCCTTACTAGGCCGTTTACCTGTCTTCGACCACATCTCACACCTTTGTTTCTGTTACTAGAATTTGCTTCTCATACTTTCTTTTCCTTCTCATCTCAGAACACGACAGAAAAAATTGTTAAACTCGAATCCAAACCGAACACCAGATAGATAACACCAGAAATGCTCAATCTTTACAGTCAATACTCAATATATATAATCTGACAAAACAGTATAAAACAAACAAATGAATTAATTAACAGTAAATAAATGTCGCAGAAGAGAAATTGACGTCTTAAACTAGAAGCTGATAAAAGTCTGAAGGCAAAGCAAAATCATGGACTCTCTCTTTCTTTTATCAGGCTCCAGTATTTTAAGCGAAACATCAATCTCATGATTTCTTGTTAACCAAAAAGACGTGTGTGTTTGTGTAGACCAATAGACCATCTTTTTCCCCTAATCCCACTGCCTTTGTTTATTAGGTACATCTTCTATCTTCGTCAACCAAAAAGCCAATCAATTCAGTGATTTCGCTATCAACATAGCCATCAAACCTACCTGAACAAATATATCTTATCATCTAATCAAACAAAACCACTACATCCGAACGGGTTTGGTGGTCCAGGTGTCCTTTACTGCCACTGAGTGACATTTTATTGGGAGTAAATTATTGGGACCCATCACACTTGGGATGCTTACTGTGAATTGCATTCCTAAGATTGCACCTGCACGTCATTTTCAGGTGACTCCAAACTCTGTCGTGTTGCGCTTACCATCCTTTTTGATTGGTGATTAGTGGAGAGTTTCATGTTGGACTTCAGGTTTGCTTCAGCTCTTCTAGGAAGGTGAATTGATCTCTTCTCAATTGAAAGAAAAAACGAAGTGAAATATGTCGACTAAGCATTCTTCAATTGCAACGCGCCAGATGGAATCTTTCGTAAAAAGCAAATTGGCACCACCCAAGGAAGATGATGCTTGCCACATATACTAGAATAGACAGACAGAAGACAGTTACACTAGCCAAGACATGAGATATGGAATAAATCCCTGGAAAATTAGATTGGAAGGAACTAGTTACATGATTTTTTATTTTTTTATATTTTGGTTATAATTAGTCTACCGCCCACATTACATGAATCATAGATAACAGGAACAGTCGGTCAATCAAATTTGTTGGTGATAAAAACTATCTGGGTCATATTAAAATTCCATCTTCTGAATTCATTATAGATTAAACAAAATTTGATCACAAACACAACTTAAAGAGACTAGATCGAAACGAAATGGGCAAGACTGCTAAACATATCGCTATAACTGGGAGAAAGTACCAGTAGCCGAGGTTAACTATGTTGCTTTTTCAATTTTCTATCATTTCTGGCCCTCTTCTTAGACTCTCTATTCTCTGCAGAGTATTGCTTTTTAATCAATAGATTGCACATTGCTGTCTTGACAGCTTCAGCTGCAGCCAAGAAAGCATTCTCATCCACCGATGTGCTACCCTGCAACGTTTCCAGCAATTTCTCGCCCCCAGGAATCTTGTCATCTTCAATAACTGCTGGTTCTTGTTCAACATCAAAACCAGAAATTACTCGAATGCGAGCTAAGGCGGGATAACTGGAACCTGGTAGACTAGACACACCCGTTACCATCCACAACATCCCAGTGCAGGAGCTGCTTCCCAAGCAAGTCGGTACAAAAGCCTCTCCTGAAATAGAAATAACCTGCAGGGAGATACACCTTAGTTTTAGAGCAACATGACTGCAAACCTTTAAGGAGCGCGTGGTAGTAGTCTAATTTCAGATACGAACATACATGTAGGTGTAATAGACGAAACGAGGTGGAATAAATGCACTTGAAATAGTCAGTGGCAATCTAAACAGTCAGGAATGAAGGTACTCACCTTGGCAACAGAAAGTGTTCGAGCAGAAACGTTGCACCTTAGCAATATTATTCCTTGCAAGCTACAATTGAATAAAACATAGCTTCATTAAGGAAACCAAACCAACACTAAAATCTCTTCAAGTGAATTGTAAACAATGCAATAAGAGCGTGAGGCTTACCTCTGAAGGGCCACTGCAACAAGCAACCCATCCATGATGGTGTATAAATCAGTCACAGCATGTGTGTGCTCCTCTGCTTCATCATTACACTCTGCAACTCCTGCCTTCAGAAAGTGGAAGAATATAAATTAAACAATCAAGAGTAACACTGAGAAGATATAGAACCAGTACCTTGTTAAACTCTCAACAGCCTTCATATCATGTTAACACGATAGCTACTGGCCTCATTATAAAAGTAGCTACCCAGGAAAGAGGACAATGATTTTACCCTATAACTTCAGGACTACACTAGAAGAAGATGTACTATTTTTTTTTAATTTTTAAAGGCATGCAATATAAAATGGAAAACAAAATAGTTGGAATCTGGGACACACACTGACACAAAAGCACACCTTAACCGCAACCTCACAGGTATCTTGGAGTGCTCCCGATGAAGTGTCCCACATACGGACCTGCAGAAAACAATATTAATTTTTATTTCCAAAAGAGAACCCTGAAATAAAATAATGGGAACTGCCTAAATTGTGAAATGTTGTTCTAACTACTCACTGTTGAATCACCGCTACCAGATATGAGAAGGCCTTGAGGGCAATTCTGATCATGAACAAAGGCAATGCAGGAAACAAACCTGCAAAGTAGATAAGCATCGATATTTAATAGCTGAATGAAAACTTCAGTTCCACTCATAAATCAGGAGGAAAGACCAAAAAAGAAAAAAAACAAGACAAAACAAACAAAACCGTTATCAACATCTCAAGTTTCCTGATACAATGGTCATTAGAAAATAATCACACTGAATGACATAAGAAACAATCAATATCTATAATCATGAAATTGGCCATCATTATCATCAAGAATCAACTAGACTGAAAAGTATGTGATCAGTTGTAAACTTCTTACTCTGTATGACCAAGACAGAAGCTCTGTATCTCATGAGCTCCACTCAAATGCTTGTCAGGAAAATTAGTAACCTAAAATAATGATATCAATAACAGAGCACCCAAATAGGTAATTCTCATTGGTGGGCAAGAGAGGTAGCTTACACGGATTTTGAAATCCCGATCAGCACTAACAATGCATCGATCATCAGGCGAAAATTCCTGATGACATGATGACATATTTACAGTAACGTCGTGAGTAATAATCATGTAAAGAAATACATTTAAGAGGTAGGTCATAAAAATAGTATGACAATAGAAGAACTAGAAAGCTGAACAGAATAAACCAAAAGACTTGCCTACATCTGGATACCTAAAATGCAGCAAATATGAACGATTCAATTTAATTATGAAGTCATGGATAAGACTATATGCTTAAAATAAAAAAAATGAGGAGGCATCAAACAATAAGAACATCATTTCTGATAACATGAGGAGAATTCATTTTATGATTTTCTTTTTTCAAAAATAAATTCTAGCTTAAGAACAACTAAATATCTGTTTGGTTACTGTACCTAAAATAGAAATGTCCTCGCTCGGAAATACTAAAGTGTAACTCTTTCATACAATAACTTCAGTTAACAGCTCTCTTTAGGTAGTAAAGAATATTTTGAGACACTAATCCATTCGTCAGAGTTGGGCATGTTATAGTAATATCATGTCTTACCAAATTAGTGATGATACTACAATAATGAGAAAGAAGTGGGGTTGCTTTCTTATCAACTAATGGTTGATCGCCATCATATCCAGCCAGATCCACAACCCAGACAACACCGAATTTGTCAGCAAAACACACATAAGAACCATCATTGCTTACAGCAACTGCACTAACTCTCTTTTCTGAGGACCTATTTCAATGGTAACATAAGTTCAGTAAAAGAAATGGAAGAGATTATGCAATATGAATGCATGTCACAAGTCACAGCCAATGAAAATACCATGCTTCATAAGGATTAATATATCTATTCACGAGCCCATCTTAATTATCAAAGGAAATTTGGAACCTTTATCCGTGACAATCATGCTGATTTATTCCTGACTAGTGCCTTACATAGAAACCATGTGAACTAGAAAACTTACACAGTACAAATGCAGCGCCAATTTTCAGCTGACCATATCTTGACAGTTTTGTCATCGCCTGCAGACACAAAGAGCCTCCCTTTTGAACCAAATCGAATTGCCCGAATAGAATCTCTATGAAATGGGCCACCGGATTCATCAGTCAATGAAGCCGCAGAACCAGCACTACATCGCCAAGTTCAATAATCACTGGTGTCAACATTCTTACCTCCCAAGAAAAACTATTAGAAAAAAATAACAGAAATGACCCAGTGATTGGCAAACATTCTCGTTATTTGCTGGAGCAGGAGAACTCCGGCAAACTCAAAATGTATAATTTAAAGTCACTCAAATTCCCATCTTCAAATCCTGAAATAACAAGTAACTAAATTTGAAAAACAATCTAAAAGACTTACTGAAGGTCGAATACACGGAGGCTTGGTCCAACAGCAACGGCAACGGACTTCTGGACTGGGTGAACTGCAATCAGGGCGGGAGCGACTTCGACTTCTTTGTTCGCTTCCCCCTCGTCCATGGTACGGTACCAGTTAGGGTTTAGTGGTTCCTGAATCCTGTAGCCAAATTCAAAGTTCAGAAGTCCCCCTTGTTTTTCCGTTTTGGTAAATTCTCCGTTCTTTTTTCCGCCCTTTTGCTACGAGGGAAGGTGAGGTTTGGTACTATGAAAGTGATTTCGACAAAAATAAAAATAAAAGTGGATATGAATATAAAAATGAATATGAGAGTGAGATTTAAAAATATATTTCATATATTGATAAAATTTTGGTATAATTTTTAATTTAAAAAATTAAAATACTTTTTCATAAAAAACTTTGATTTATACCAATAATGAAATACACTAAGACATACACAACCTCCTCCTCTTTCTTCTTGGCCTTCTCCAGAAGCAAGCAAGCAATTTTCACCATTAATGAAGACAATTTTTGAATCCCTTCATGAACAATAATTGTTAGAGATTGTTGGCAATTATATCTTGGAGAAATCACGATTTTGAAGCAAGTGTTAAAAAAGTCTGCAAATTGTATTTGCTTAACAACTGATTGCTGAATATCTACTCAAAATCTCAATTACTTATGCTTAACTTGTCATTTCATTTATCTTGAATGGAAGTTGCACAAGAGGATATTGAATTTCTATATGATTTAGAATCATAAGGGTAACACAATTGGAAAGACAATTGAGAAGTGTCTATTAGAATGAGAAATTGAGAAGGTGTTTACTATAACAATGGACAACGCATCATCTAATGACACGGCTTTGTCATATTTGAAAAGAAGGCTTAAGAATTGGAAGGGCATGATTTGTGGGGGTGATTACCTTCAATTGAGATGTTCTATACATTTCTTAACTTGGTGGTTAATGATGGGTTGAAGGAATTGAAGAATAGCTTTGATGCAATCCGCAATGCAATTAAATATGTTTGTTCTTCTCCTACTCATCTCTAAAAGTTTAAAGTGTTGTTGAGTTACAGAAATTGAACACTACTAGCCTTGTTTGCCTTAATGTCAATACTCGGTGAAATTTAACTTATTTGATATTGGAATCTACTTTAAAGTTTCAAAAGGCTTTTTGGACACCTAGAAGATGAAGATGAAGATGAAGATTATACGGGGCAATTCATTAGAGGCACTAGGCGTGAAGGCCCTCCTAAAGCTAGTTATTGGAATAAGGCACATGTCTTTCTCAAATTTTTAAAGGTATTCTATGACATAACTTTGATGTTTTCAAGTTTAGTGAATGTTACTTCTAACACTTGTTTCCATCAAATTGCTCTTATTCATGAGTTGTTGGAAGAAAACATTATGAATGTTGATCCTTTGCTTATGAAAACGTCCCTGAGTATGAAAAGCAAGTATGAAAAATATTAGAGCCAAATAGAGAATTTGAATTCTTTACTCCTTGTAGCAGTGTTTTTGGATCCTTAGTACAAGCTTGTTTATGTGAATCATATATTTGAGCAGCTTTTTCTTGATCTTGAAGTTTGCACGACCATGAAAATTAAGATCAAAGATGTCTTGTACCATATATTTGATGAGTATTCTTAAGGACTAGAGATTAGCACCCTAAGCAATTCTTCTTCTTCTACACTTCCAAGATCATCAACATGTTCAATGCTTGAAGACTAAGGGAGTACAGATCTAGGTCGTAAGTAAGAAAAAACCTCATCAGACCCACAATCAGAATTATATAAATATCTTTCATCTAATTCTGCTAATGATACTCCTGTTGATGATGATTTTGATATATTAGCATGGTGGAGAGCTAATTCTAGCAAATACAAGGTTCTTTCTATAATGGCACGTGATGTCTTGGTTGTTCTACTGTCCACAATAGCCTCTAAATCAGCCTTCAGCACAGGAGGATGTGTAGTGGACTCTTATAAGAGTTCACTATCACCAAAGATGACTGAAGCACTTATCTGTGCTCAAAATTGACTGCTTCTTAGACAATTCATATCTAAATTTGCATCCATACTTCAAGAATTTGATTATTTTAAGGAGACCGAGGGTGTGGTAAAGATTGGTATGTGTTGTAATGATGATATTGACTATTTATATTTTATATGAATTATTATATGTTTTAGTTGTATTTGTTTTTTTATTTGTGATGTAATGCCATTAACTATTTATATTTTATATATTTTTCAGATCTTTTCAGTGTCACTGATGTTAGAGAGGATGATTGTGTGAGCATCATTTGATGTTGAATAATGCTTATGTTTGTTAACTTTCAAACTTTTGAATATTTTAGATATATTTTAGACACATCTCACTAACTTCTTGTTATGTGAAGAAGCATGATGATAATTTGATAGAATAATAATTTTTTAGCTAGCTAGCTATATCATGTAGTTGGCTAGAATATGTGGATAGTCATTTTTTTAGATAGACTATGGAGCTTGACTGTAAAGTATTAAATTGTTGACTAAGTAAGTAGACTATGGTGAGATGTATATATTCTAAATATGAATATATTAACAAGTTTATTACTTTATCATATAGTTGTTATTTTAGAAGATGGAGTTCAAATTCGCACACTCCTACTTTAATGGATTTATTATATGCTGTTCTATAAGGTTATCATGAAGTTCTAGTTTCTAGCAATTAGTTATCGCCCTTTATTTAAAAAAATTGGCCAATATATATTTATATATATATTTCAAAAAAAGGAAGGCCTGGTCCTTGTATAAGGACATGCATATGTTTGATTTATTTAAACATGAAATCTTGTTATTTACATCGGGTCCAACTAAGCAGGAAACTCAATCGATGATAAGCCTATGATGTTGATGCAAGTGAATAGGAAAGGGGATATAAGGGCTTGCTTTTTTTAAAAAGAGTTGGATTCAAGAAACTAGACTAGTCCAGTAACTCAGTAGCCCAAGTCCAACCCGGTCCAATAAGACTGGACTAGTCCTTGTACTAAAAATTTTAGCCCGATCTCCATTCAGATTAGACTTTAGGTTGGCATCCAACCTGGTCCAGTCGAGTATTTGTGCAGCCCTAGTTTACAATGGCTCATTATATAATTAACTAATAGCTAATCGAAGCTCACAATGCATATTTCAAATACTAAATAACATTTATATAAATATAATCACCAAACACTTCATCAAAAATGAGTCATGCTTCATATTTGAGTAATAATTTAAAATTAATATATTCATCTATAAGCTCATTTTAAACCATCCATAATAATGCTTAAAGTATAAATGCAGAGATAATAATATATTATACTTAAATTCTCGATTACCTCAATTCTTAGTTTACCAATCAAGAGTACCTGTGAATTTCAAACAGAGCCTCTAATAAGCTCAGTAGCATCAACAATGGTCAATCTACAATCAAATACATCAATAGCCATTAATGACTAATTATCTTTAATTAACTCTAATTAAAGCCTAAACTCAAAAATCCCATTGTAATCATCTACCCATAACCAAATCTATTTTTAGGTTCCATTAGTTCACCTATACTCCCATCAGTCTAATCAACACCATTAATAACTCATAACCTTCTTATTTCAACTAATTAGCTTTAGGGTTTACTTTAAATCTTACTTTAAAATCCTAAAACCTCATTAGCACCATAACCCAAAGGTTAGATATTTAAATAAACACCTATTAATCTCTTTGAAGTTAGAATTCTAGAAAAAATCAAATCCATTTTTGAATTCCTAAAAAATTACCTAAAAACAATAATGAAAATGCACAAAAGAGGAAGAAAAGAAGTTGTAGGCACTTACCCAAGTAATTATAAGTTTGAAATAGACTCAATTGGATGCCCACAACAAACATTAGTAGAGCTCTCCTTACTCACCTTCAGATTGTCACTTTACTCTCTAATTTTTTAAGCAAAATAATGGATCTGGAGGCTTAAAAATTGACTTTTAGCTGCGGCCAAAGACCAAAAATTAAGGTTATGATAATTGGGCCTAAATATGGCCCAATACCACCTAGGGCCTAATTCTAAGCCCTAATTAGGGTCTGATAGATTCATTAGCCATCAATATATTATTTTTTAATCCAAGTTAACTCTTAATTATTAATTTGTCTTTAATAAGCCAATTAACCTTGAGTTAAATTTTTCAGAATGTTACAACCAACAATGGAGGAGAAGATCTCTTGTAGTGTCAGTAACAGCCAGTGTGGAGAGCATGAAGGGGTAGAGGTTGTTGCTATCGCTGTCTCAGTTGAAGGTTGCCAGTACTAATTGCTAGAGGTCTTCAGTGCAAGTTGCCAAACTAGTTGTTAGAGGTCATTGGTAGTAGGGGAGAAGATTTCCTCTGATATCGATGGCAGCTAGCATTGATGATATGGAGGAGTAAAAATGGAGTTTGCAATATGTAATTTGAAATCTTTAGGAATTAACATGGAAATCATTCTATCAATTTTGGTGAAATTTGAATAGGAACTGGATTACACTAATTTTTCGATTCCAACATATTAAACAAACATTTCTTTCAATTTCCATACTTACTAGAATTCCTAATTCCAGTATACCAAACGAGACCTAAATTAGGTCTAATTTTGTATGTACATGCTTTCTTTGTTTTGGAGATGTAAAATAGATTGTTTTCCCATGTGAATGGTAGACTTTCTTTAGTCTCTTTTGTAATACCTCTATTAATTAAACACATAACTAGCATAGAAATTAACCTTAAGGTAAAGATTTCATGATAATTCCAACTAATAAAATCAATAATAAGAGATATCATGGAAAGAAAAAGATTAACCTTGGCAATATAAAACTCTCAAGGTTAAGTAAGAAAAATCTTGTAGAGATGGGATCCCATTAATTATTTAATCTCAAAGCCAAGTTTAAAAGGTTATTTAAACATTACAAATCAAAGTAAAAAGTATTTGAGAAGCATAAATATCAATCAGAGTTGGAAACAAGTCAAAATGAAGTAAAAATGATCATTTTTGGTACTTGACAACGGCCAACAATCTTTAAGTTGTGGCCAAGACTTCATGACAGTATCTGTCATGACAACTCCTAACCATGAACTTCCGACGCGCATAACTTTTAACTTAGACATTTGATTGAGGTGATTTAAGTGCCCACACATCAAAAATTTTATAATCTAACTAATGATTTTAATTTCACATCAATCCAACATCAGATGAAGAAT